ATATATATATATATATATATATATATATATATATATATATAGTAGTGGTATGATACTGCTACATAAGAATTACAATAGTAAAATCACAGTTAAATACAAAATAGCAACATAAAAACAGTAAATACAACATAATTAAAACCATAAAAATATAATAAAATCCTCAACCAGTGCTCCTTATGTCTGTTTTCTGAAAGCCTGTCCCCAAAACCAGGCTTTTAATTTTTTCCTGAAGGCCAGAAGCGATGGGGTCGACCTTATCTCATTTGGGAGTGTGTTCCATAGGTGGGGGGCCCCAACCGAGAAGGCCCTGTCTCTCGTCCCCACCAGATGCATTTGCAATGTTGACGGAAGTGAGAGCAGGGACTCTCCAGATGATCTTAGATTATGAGGTGGGATATAGCGGCAGACAAGTAAGCATTCAGACAAGTAAGCTGGGCCAGAACTGTAGAGCTTTATAGGTCAATACCAGCACTTTGAATTGAGCCTGGAGATGGACCGGCAGCCAGTGGAGCTGACATAATCAGGTGATTGCTTCATCATCCATCTGATAATTCAGTAAACATATACTAGAATGGTTAAAATGTAGGCAAATTTCAAAAAATCATGGTGAATGTTTTAATGAATGCACACATATGAAACTTACATCAATGTGAAGGAGAAGTCTTCAAGTTTATTTATTTATTTATTTATTTATTTATATACATTATTTCTATCCCACCCATATCAGCCCGAAGGCGACTCAGGGTGGCATACAAAGTTGACACAATTCGATGCCATATAAAATACATACATTCATAAAAAGCAAAAGAGAAACATTACAGTACATTTAGAACATAAAAACAATAAATAATAAAAAATTAAAACTATGTCCTCTCATTCAAATCCTCGTTCGTTTTCCCCCCACACTCAAACATGTTCAATATGTCTGCCACCAGTCACACATCACACATCTAAATGGAAGTCAAGCTTCTGCCACAAATGTCTCTGGATCTTTTGTTTTTGGCAGGGGCCTTTGGGGACTTACATCCTCTGGCTAGTCTTCTAGTTATTAGCTGGGTCCGGGAGCAACCATGAGTTTCAGGGATTCATCATGGTGTTTTAACCAAGGAGAGGTTGGACACTCTTGTCTGTGGAAACTGACCACTCCTGAACCAAATTGCTCTTCCCATTTAGAGAATGCTATTGTGGTCAATGGCATTCTCAGCTCGGGTGGCCAAGTGATATATTCACAAACGGCCCATTTTGTTAAACTGTACTAACCAGCATCTAATCACCTTTCCATCTGGCATGCATTCTAAACACATGTTGCATGGTAATCATGGACTTCATGCTTTGAACCTGTAGGACACAGAACACCTTCTCCTGCTGGTTGCAGCCATTTTGCACTGCCATATGCGTGGATGCTGCCTGGTGGCCACTCGTGCAATTACCCTATCAGAGAGGCGCATATGAGTGTGGAAGAAAACTTGAAGACTTCCCATTCACATTGATGTACGTTTTATATGTGTACGTTCACGAAAAGCTTTATCATGATTTTTTTAATCGGGGCATTCTTTTGTAATAAACCTGTATTATGCTAAATTCCATTGTTTCAATGGTTCAGTTCTGGTCAAAAATACAGGCTGGCTTTTAGCCTAAGAAAGCGAATATTAAGAAGCTGAACTGATGACCCCCTTGACACTTCCACATCATTTTACACAATGGATTTTCTAAACCTATCTTGATCTAACTATGCATCTTCTGCAACTTGATTACAATTGCACACACTGATGTAAAACATCTCATTTTAAAGTGTTTATCTGAAGTTCATAGTCAGTAAAACTACAATCATTTGAAATCCTCTGAACAGATATACCAGTATATGCCACTTAAACTAAATCAAATAATGTGATGTTCGAAATGTTAAACATGTAAGTTAAATAGACCAAAGAAGATTTGACAGTGTAAGAATCAGTTAAGCAAATGAAAAGCTAAATCCCACTTAAGAGTGGACTCAGTGAATCAATTATGGCATAATAAGTCCGTCCTGATGTAAGTTCATTTATTCAGTAGTTCTACTTTAGTTCCTACAGTACTAGCAACTGGATATAGACCATTTTATATAAAGGATACAGGGAAAATGTAATATTCTACTATTATTCAAACAATTAAAGTTATTAATATTTTAGGAGGCAGAAAAAGCATTCTGTAGAGTTCAACTTTGCCTACAGCATTTTTATATTAAAAGAAAATAAACTGTACCTTATTTGCAAATCTTCACCACAGTTCTGTACCATTTGAATTTGATGGCCTGAAAACAAGCAATACATATGTTTTTAAGTCTTTTGTTTATATTTTATGCATAATTTTACACAAAGAGAGAGACTCACACATCTGCTTGTCCCCACTCATTATTACAATGTATTATTATCAACTTTTCCTCCAACTCCTAGAGGCATAGTGGGTTGTAAAAATAAAAAATTTAAAAATTCTGAAAATGTCCTGGCACATATTGTACACTCTTTAATAAGACAAATAATAAGGAGATAAAGCTTGAGGCATTTCTTCATAAAGTTTGCATTTTCTGAGGAAACATTTGTCAATTAAGCCTCCAGACAACTAATGCAAGATTAATGTATCAGACACATAGATGTACACAACATGACTAAAATCCTCCAGGGCTTTTACTCCCATATAAATCTCATAGGGTAAAATATGTTCACATCTGCAGTTCCTACATTTGCATTTCTCCAATATCATTTACTGATATTAAAAATGGAATTTACATCTAGATTGCATTTGTTTCTCCGGTCACTGTTACACAAAACCAAACAGAAGTATATAAAACAAGGAAAATCCATAGCCCTGGGATCAATAATAAAGCTAAACTCTAGAAGCACTCAAGATTGATTCATATTTGCAGGCACACCCATTTAACGGTACAAGGGGAAACTGCAAGGCACTGAAAATTATTGTCTTTGAAGAGATCCAAAAGTTCAGTACATGGTTTGTAATGTAAAATGGTTGTTATGTTTGCATGAATGGCTGGTCCTAAGGGTGCCTCAGCTAAAACATTAGTTCTTCAATGCAGTTTGCTAATGGGGATGTTTCACAGAGATGGTGTTAAATAACCTGAATAATATTATGTGATAAACAGAAATATATCCTTCTTCTTCCCCTTGCCAATCATATTTCTGTATGAGTGACACCAGAGATGACATACACAACCAGCTCAAATCACCTCCTTGTGTCTTGTTCTAGAGCTGCCTAATAAAGCTGTAACTTACTTTGTGGATCAAAGTTACGAGGGGTATTTTTAAAGTAAGGTCTGTTTTGTTGTAGACACTAGTAGTTCGCGTGCATACCGCAACGAGCGCGTGCGTCGTGTACCAGCATGCCTCAGGAACAACTGTGCTCAGTTTCCGCTCCGTAGCTAACCTGTACGGTTCTGTTCTGTGCTTTAAAAATGTTTAAGACTATCAACTCACCCTCCACATGTGAGGTTCGCTCAGTGATATGGTTTTTGTCAGCAAGGAACTTGCCTGCTGCAGAAATTCATCAACAGATTTGTGAAGTGTATGGTGATACTGTTATGAGTGAAAGCAAAGTGCGTAAGTGGGTACGACAATTCAAATATGGCTGTGACAACGTCCATGATGAGGACCGCTCCGGTCACCCTTCTTTGATTACAATGAACTCTTGGTTATCAGAGCAGGTGGCAAGCTTTTATGAAGAGGGTATTTTAAAATTGGTTCAGAGGTATGATAAGTGTTTGAACAAACTTGGCAACTATGTTGAAAAATAGAGTGAAAATACTTTCTGAAAATAATTTTACTTTTTTGAAATAAACTTTCGTTGTGTACTTATGTTCAAATGGACGTTACTCAAAAAATACCCCTTGTATTTCCTTGCAAATTCCTGACTCACCACAACATTGCAAGAATTCATTAGGAACAATAGGCAAAAGAGTAGCGATTCCTTATTTGTGGTGGAAGTTATTCTTATAGTTTTTTCTCCTCTAGTCTGGGATCACTAATTTTAGGGAAGCTCTTCCTAGAGTAACACATGTTACACTGTTAATTCCTGGATAACAGTTATAATAGATATAACTGATATTTCTGAGCAGGGTATTGAACCTGTAGAGAAGCTGAAATAATTCCTTGGATGTAATATTGACAGCTTGTGTTGTAGATCAATAGGAAGACAAGGGTTCAAATTTCCACAAAGGTTTGGATACTCATTACTTGACTTTGAGCAAATCTTGTTATCTAAGCCTTAGAGGTAGGCAAAGGCAAACTTCCTCTAAACCAATTTTGCCATGAAACATTATGGAACATATTAGATGGGCAAAATTGCCTGTCATATGACACTTGGACGTTTCTTCAAGCATGGAGCTTGTGGAATCCAATCACATGATGCCGATCAACTTTTTGTGGGGCTCCATGCCTGAAGTGAGATCCAAGTGTCACAGAAGGCAGAGACAATAATCCGGGAGGTTTCTCATATTGCATAGACAACAGTAGGGAGAAGGCAGGTGGGAATGCTTCCCCCTGTGGGATGAAGTGAGGGGCGGTGTGGGCGATGTGGAGTGATAGCTTCCTCATGCCAGATTTGTCACAATAGGTGGTGAATCCCCTTATATCACAGAAAAGTGACCTCAGTGTGATGAGGTCCTATGATAGCCTTTGCATAGGCCATAATTGAGTTGAAGGCACACAAGAGCAAATATAATTGTAGATTTCTTCTACTTTCAGTATGTAACAGGATCAGCACCTTACAGACAAGCCCAAAGAACAAAGTTAGTAACAAAACCTTCTGTAGACTTATGCTATGTCCCTCCTAAATGCCATGAGGGTGCATGCCTGTTTAATCTTCCTGGGGAGGGCATTCCAGGGTTGGAGGGGGCACCACTGAGAAGGCCCTCTCCCTTGTCCCTGCCAGCCTTGCTTGCAAAGGAGGCAGGACTGAGAGAAGGGCTTCCCTAGCCGATTGTAAGTCCCGAACAGGTTTATATGGGGGCATGCGGTCACATAAATAGGCAAGACCTGGGCTGTTCAGAGCTTTATAGGTAATAATGTGCACTTTGAATTGGGCCCAGAAGCAAATAGGTAACAAGTGAAGCTGCTTCGTATGATTTCTATAACCTGCCCCTCTCAGCAGCCTGGCTGCTGTTCTTTGTACTAGTTGAAGCTTCTGAGACATCTTCAGAGGCAGCCCTACATAGAGTGTGTTGCAGTAATCCATATGAGATGTAACTAAGGCATGGACAACTGTGGCCAGATCTGGCTTTTCGAGGTATGGTTGCAGTTGGTGCACAAGCTGTACCTGAGCTTCAAGTGTCAGCGCTGAGTCCAGGAGGACCCCCAAACTGCAAACCTGTGTCCTCAGGGGGAGTGTAACCCCATAGAGCATAGGTTGCCACCCTATACCCTGATCGGCCTCACGATTCACCAGGAGGACCTCTGTCTTGTCAGGATTGTGTTGCACTCCAGAACAGGAAATTGCCCCTCTGACTATAAACACACCACATGTTGAGTGAAGGAACAATCCTTTTTATTAAAGCTTAGCAAAAATAAAAAAAACAGTAAAAATAAATGCTTGTAAAGATTGATAAGATTCCAAAAAGCAGTAAGGCATTTAAAGGCAGGAAGAAGACACAGCATCCAAATGTAGCATTCAGAAGTAATGTTCAAAAAGAATAAAAGCTTCGTTATTGGCGCGGGGTCGATCCGTTAAGGGTATAACGAATCGATTCGTTAAAATTCTTTTTAGTAGAAGGATGCCTGGTTCTTGTGCCTCTGCAACCACTCAGCGGAAGTGAGGTATAGAGAGTGGGATGGCAACAACCTCCCATCCTGGCCTGGAAGAGAGACCCCATGAAATCAACAGCTTTCTTCTCCTATCCCCTTTGCTTCCATTGTTGGATCTCAGACCAAGTTAGTGTCCCTCCTATGATTGATGGAAACACAGTAATGAGCAGCCAGTTCTGATAGTGGCAGCAGGGTTGGCAGTTGCCTGCTTCTGCTCTTGAGGCAGTGGGTGTGATGCTACTACTCATTCATTCAACTGGAGAAAAATGCTGTGAAATGGCAGGAGGCATGAATTCTCACCATTTCACTAATTCTTGCATGTATCTCCAGTTGTATCCAGTCCCAACCTCACAAATACTCATCTCAGGCGGGCCACGGAGGCAGAGCCGGCGCTGCAGGAATCCCCTCCCCGGCTCCTGCGCTCCGGCTCCGGCTCCTGCGCCCTCCTCCTCCTCCTCCTCCCCTCCTCCTGGCACTTCCTGCAACACAGCTGGGAGAGAGAGGCGCCTTAAAGAGACAACCGGCCTCCGCGCGCCGGCCAATCGGGAGCCGCGCTCGCGCCCAACAGGCAGGAACAAGGCTTGGCTCCCTAAGGGCGAGCGCGCGCGGGCCGGCCAATCGGGAGCCGCGCTCGCGCCCAACAGGCAGGCGCGTGGCTTTAAGGGCGAGCGCGCGCGGGCCGGCCAATCGGGAGCCGCGCTCGCGCCCAACAGGCAGGCGCGGGGCTTGGCTCACTGGGTGCGCGCTCGCGCCGCCCCTTCGCCCCTGCCCGCCCCATTTACGAAACGGGCGAAAGCTCGTTAAAACTGTGGGGGTTGCCGTTTCGATATTTAAAAACCCTTCCGGGTTTGAAAATATGGTTTGTTATCATTTCGTAAATGCAAAAATTAACGAATGTTTAACGAATTACGAAATTAACGAACGAAACCGCACAGGCCTACTAGATACTATACTTCTACTTATGCAAACCAAAATCACATTAGCTTTTTGAGCTGCTGCATGACATTGTTGGCTCATGTTTAACTTGTTGTCCACAAAGACACCAAGACCTTTTTTACACGTACTGCTATCGAGCCACACGTTCCCCATTCTGTATCTTTGCATTTCTTTTTTTGTGTGCCTATCTTGTATTTGTCTCTGTTGAACTTCATTTTGTTAGTTTTGAACCATCTCTCTAATCTGTTAAGATCATTTTGAATTCTGCTTCTGTCTTCTGGAGTATTGGCTATCCTTCCCAATTTGGTGTCATCTGCAAACTTGATGATCATGCCTTCTAACCCTGTGCCGTCACACCCAAACGCCTTAAAGATGGAACTATGATGTGCTGCCTTTTGTTTGAGCGGACTGCTGGAATCTTTCTTTAAAGGGCTTAAACTTTCTAAGTAACCGAGTCCACTTTGACTATTGAAGAACAAACAGAATATTTATTAACAAAGTCCTTGTAGATTTGGCTCAGCTTAACGAAGTTACAGACAATCAATCGATGAAACCATATAGCTAT